TCTCTCTCTCTCTCTCTCTCTCTCTCTCTCTCTCTCTCTCTCTCTCCTCTCTCTCTCTTTCTCTCCCTCATCCTCTCCCTCTCCCATCCTCTCTTTTCTTCTCTTCACCCTTTTTCCTCCACATCCCTACCACCTCTTGGTTGTGTACATCTGGCCAAGATTCTCAATAAACTTCAGTCTCTGTGTCTCGCCCAGCTAGCCCTAAGTTGCCCACTTCCTCTTTCTATCTAGAACTTTGTCTTGCAGAGAGACTGCCCTGTTCCTGGTGGGCAGCACATCTTGACCAAGAAAGGTCTGAGTGTCGACCGAGAAGCTTTTCCTATGATCCTGGGCCCGTTTTCCCCATCGGTGACCCTGTCTGCTGCTGAGGTAATAGTGCCTCACCTGCCTGGCCAGCCTGCCTTTCCTGCTGCTGTCTGTGCTGTCGGTGGCTTTCACACAATTCCCGCATCTGTGAATTCCATGCTTGATGCTGGATTTGAGCCAATTCATTTGTGGACCATTTCACCACTGGAGAACATCTAGGAAGAGATGCATGGCTCTCTATGGTCAAGCTTTGGTGATGAAAGTAAATAGACCCGCCATCCCTGGGGATCAGGGTTGCCATGACTACGGATGACACATTTTGGCACCCTAGGGCCCATTCCTCAGAGGTCCCCATTAGGGACCCATGCTAAGTGCTCATTGTTTGCATCCTGTCTGAAAACAGCAAATATTGTCATGAAATCAATCCCTGTGGAACAATTGTACAAACATGACCACCTCGCCTCCCTTTCCTTTGGTGTTCTTTGAGAGGCCCGTGAGAGGAGGGCCAGAGAGCAGGATGCACTGTCATGATGAAGGAGCTTATACGTCAAAGCCGGTTGTAACTCTACGAGAAATGCAGTAAGCACGAAACAGAAAGTGAAAACCCCCAGAAATACAACTGTTACTGCTTTTTATTTTTATTTTTTAAGCATATGAGTGTTTGCCTTTCTAAGTCTATGCACCATATGTGAAATAATGGAGGTCAGGAGAGTTACTGGACTGGACTGATGGACAGTAATTACTATCGTGTGGGTGCCAGGAGTCCATCCTGGGTCTTCTAGAAGAGCAGCAAGCACTCTAACCCATTAGCCTTCTCCCCAGCCCAAGTGTTTACTATATTTATACTTCTACTGGAATACTAAAATATTCTCAAAACATAGCCACTTTTCAAGCCCCAAATAATGATGTGACGATGACCCTCTTGTCACTGGATAATTCTGTCCATTTATCATCGGTTAATGTGAGCATGTTGTTTTCAATCTTTTTATCTTGTTTTGTTATTTTATTGCTGTGGTGGGATTAAAACCAGGGCTTCACACAGGCCAGGCAGTGCTCTGTCCCTCCAGCCTTGTTCTGTCCTTCCTCCCACCCTCCTGCCCTCCCTCCCTGCCCTCCTTCCTGGATACATGAGTGGGAGCGCACACACGCAGGTCAGAGGAGAGCTTGCAGGAGCTGGTTCTCTCCACCACGCAGGTTCTGGAAATCAACCGAGCCCAGCTTATCTGGCATGGCAGCAAGTGTCTTTACCTGCTGAACCATCTTCTCCTGCCCTCTTATCTGGATATTTAAAGCAATTGTTTAAGTTGTTTTTGATGGGATAGCAAGACCCTTTACAGTAGACGAGTTTTGGCTACAAAAGAAATCCCCCCCCACCACCACCACTAAATGTTAAGAGTTCTTCATGTAGCAGGATAAATTTTACAGGTGTGTGCGTTGGGGCTGGAGAGATGGCTCAGCGGTTAGGAGCACTGACTGCTCTTCCAGAGGTCCTGAGTTCAATTCCCAGCAACCACATGGTAGCTCACAACCATCTGTAATGAGATCTGGTGCCCTCTTCTGGCCTGCAGTCACATATGCTGTATACATAATAAATGAATAAATAAATTTTTTTAAAAAAAAACCTCCAACTTCAAAAAAAAAATTTTTACAGGTGGATTCTATTCTCTAGTTCATATGTCATCTTTGATTTTATTTTCTTTGACAATTTTATACATGTAAATCCTGAGTTTGGGGCATTTTCACATCCCAGATCCTCTCACTCTCCCCTACCTTTCTTCCTTACAATTTCCTTACTACATTGATGTCCTCCCCCGCCTCACCACTGTGTTTGATTGCAGATGTGTGTATGAGCTTGAGGGGTGGAGGATATTTGTGGAACACATCTCTGCTTACCAATAATAATTTAATTCACTGAGATTTGATATGGTTACCATCCAAGAAGGGTTTACTTCTGCCATTAAGTTATTTTCTCCATGTCTTATCCTTTGTTTCTCAACTTTTAGTATTGTCATTTTTTTGTTATTCACTTGATTCTTTTTTGTATCATTCCACTTTGACCCCCTCTTCTCCCTTTCTGTTTATTTTAAGTTGTTTCCTTGGTGATTACTTTGAAAACTGTAAATAACATCATAATCTCACACCAACCTTGTCTGAATAAAACCAACTGAAGATTCAATATCTTGGGCTCAGATGAGTTCCTGTATGTCTCTTGTCTCCCCTCCCATTAATGAGGTCACATATTACATCTTTATACATTGTATCACAACTAATATAAATTTATAATTATTATTTTATGCATTGGCCTTTGGGTCACATAGAAAGGGAGAATTGTTGACCCAAGTACAAGTCATTGCCCTGGGTGCTTATCATCATCATTGTCTAGTACACTTTGATTTTAGCCTGAAGTTTTCTTATATTATTTATTGTAGAGATTTACTGAAAATGCACTCCTTGGTTTCTGCTAATCCAGAAATATCTTAATTTTTCTTCATTCTAGAAGGATAGTTCCAATAATAATTAGAACATTTTGTTTTCCTTTAGTTTGTCCTTTTTCTTATTTATTTACTTTTGGATTTTAGAGGTGGTGTCTTGCTAAGTAGCTGGGAATGATCTGAAAATCCTTATGTAGCCTAGGCTGGGCTAGAACTCATGATACGCTGTCTTGACCTCCTGAGTACAGGGATTACAGACCCTCATTATCAGATCTATCAGCCTGCAAATGCGCTGTCCACTTCATCCAGCTTCCACAGTGTCTGTTTGGCATTTACTGAGGATCCCTTTACACAAGGAGTCTCTTCTCTTATTTTTAGTTTTGGGTTTTCTGTCTTCGTTGGGTTATTTTGAATGAGGGACCCTGGAGATAGCTGTTCCACCATTTTGCATCTTTATGTATTTCTGGACTTGCTATTCTAATCTGCAGAACTTTCAGTCTGTTCATGGATTTGATTATAGAAAACTTACAATGTGTGTTTATATCTAAATACGGATAAGTGTAATTTTGTGCATTAGTCTAATTATATAGCTATGTATAAATATATCTTGGCATTTAATTTTTGCTGATTTAAATTTAAAGAAAACATCTCTATGGTAAAAAAGATAAAAAAGCTATTTCAGAACAAGGGGCAATTAAGCCTCACATCTTTTGGATTTTCCTTTTGTCTGTAATAATTTCTCAGTCTTCCCTTGCTTTTCACATTCTTAATTGTTTTGAGGAATCTTGGGCAGACGTTTTGTCCAATATTATTCTATTTGGGGTTTCCTAGTTTCATAGTTATAGCATCATTATGACTTTGGGGAAGAACAACCTCTGAGGGATTTTTCCCTCATACTGTCATGTTATAGCAAAAATACAGGACGTCAGCATGAGCTATCACTGACGATGTTAAACTTCATTGCTTGGCAAGAAGATCTTATCATTTCTCCACTGTGTAGATTATTTTTCCCCTGTAGTAATCTGTTCTTGGGCAACAAGTCACTCAGTCCAGCTGCCTTTCAAGGGAGAGGAGAGGACTGAGCTCCGCACTCTGCGGGGTGTGATGGGGTGTGGAATCTGCGGTGCCTGGACATCTGTTAGAGAGCCTGTTTCTTGTCCCCTGGTCACCGGTTTGTTCTTTTGCTTGCTTTCGTCAATCTGGACTTACTGATGTTTATTTCCTGTATCACAATGACACCGAGCATCCCTTTCCCAAAATACCTGGGATCAGAAGTGTTTGGTGTTTCAAAGTCTTCTAATCTCGGAATATTTGCATATACATAACGAAATATGGAATCCAAGTCCAAACATGCAACTCAGTTTTGTTTCATGCAGCCTGGAGGTAACTATAAGTGGTTTTAATGTGCCTGTTTTGACTAATTCCGATTACGTGAGGTCCCCTGAAGAATTTCTGTGTCATGCTGGCATTCAAAAAGTTTCAGATTTGGAGGGAATGTTAAAATTTCAGCTTTTGGACTGGGGATGCTCGGCCTATGGTACCCTATTTGTTGCCTGTTCAGCCACGGGGAGCACCTCCGTGTTGGCTGCGGGGTCTTTGGGCGTGCCTTATCCCTCTTTTCTCTCCCTTTTCCTCTTTACCCCTCCCTCTTCTGGGAACTCCCTCCCTTTCTACAGTACAGGATGCCCCAGGATGTCAGCCTCTTTTCCCCCAGTATCCGTGGGACACACACACACACACACACACACACACACACACACACACACACACACGAAACTCAGGACAGACACTGGGCCGTTGTCTGAAAACAGGCTTGGTTGTCCATGTGAGGACTCAGTCTAAACAGCCAGGTTCATAAGGACTCAGGGCTCAGCAAGCAGATGAAGCCAGTTTCCAAGGCCCGTGTGGTAAAGGGGCAATGTCCAGAACAAAGTCATCTACTGAAGGTCCATTGACTTTGCGTGAGAGAAAATTCCAGAAAGCTTTGCCCTTCCCCTAAAACAGCAGGAGTCAAAATACTACAGCACAATAATTTCTAGACATTGTAATGGCTTCCTCTGCTTGCAACAGACATTCAGCCTGGTAGGTTTGTAACCTTGATGTACACATCTAAGGGAGGTGATTCCAATGGCCCTGGGGTGGTGTAGTCCCCAGTCCTTCTGAGGAGAGCAGTGTCTGGGGATCTGTGCAGCACTGAGGGATGACCATTTGTTTCAACATTCACTGAGCTGATGCCAAACTTTTCTAAGTTGTTTTAATTGGCAAACCAAGAGTTGACTCCCCAAAGGCTAATTAGTGGTAAATAGAAATTGATTGTGGAAAGGAGTATGTGGTATCTCCCAGGAGTCTAGGCTGAGGGAAAAATGGCCCTGGTCTAGGCCTGGTCTCTATTAACTCAGGCCCTGGGAGATAAATCACCAAAGTGGCTGCCACTGGGGAGTAAGATGTAAACTTGGTACAGGGTCTGTCTCTGAGGGAAGATGGCACCAGGGAGCTCACATGGTGCCTTGTTTTTATTAATCATTAGTTCCTCAATCAGACACAGACAACTAGGACCAGCAACTAGAACCAGGATGAGCCTGCCCAGACCTCTAGAGGACTCTCTTCCCTCTTCCTGTATCTCCGCTGAAAGAAATGATTCGGGGAGACAGCAGAGATGCAGGAAGTGGGTATTCGGCAGAAAGGGAATGAAAACCAGGAAGTTTGTGCAGAGTTGGCCAGCATGCAACAGGCACACCAATGAGGTTTTCTACTCAATAATGAGTTTCTAAGATAATTTGTGGGGGGCACATGTGGATAGAAAATGACTCCCCTTTGTCTCTGGATCCTATGAAAATTTCATTGACTTTCCTTCATCTTGGTCCTCTATCTTCCTCCTCATTCAACTTAAAAATATTTTTTTCTTTTTAAAACTATAGTTACATCATTTCCCCCTTCTCTTTCTTCCATCCAAATCCTTCCATATACCTTTCTTGCTCTCTTTCAAATTCATGACCTCTTTTTTCTTTAATTGTTGTTACATGCATATATGTTTATGTACACACACACACACACACACACACACACACACACATATATATATATATATATATATATATATATATATATATATATATATATATATTTAACCAGCTGAGTCTGTATAGTGTTACTCGGATGTATGCTTTCAGGGCTAACCACTTGGCATTGGATAGCCAATTGGTGTGCTCCTCCCAGAGGAAGACTGTTTCTCCCACTCCCAGCATTCCTTAGTACCTGTAGTTCTGAGTATAGGATCGAGGCCTCCTGGCCTCTCCCCAGTCCACTTTGGTATATCTGTTGTTGTCCTTATTCATCTCCTGTTTAGGCAATCATGTAAGTGAGACTTTACGGGTGTAACTTCTGACATCCCCAGGAGACACAGTTTCACGGCAAACACCTTGATCCTTTGTCTCTTACCCACTTTCTGTCTCCTTTTCTCCAATGTTTCCTGAGCCTTGGGCGCAGGAGTTATCTTGTAGACGGATCCCTTTCAGCTGGCCTCCACAACTCTGCGTTTTTTAGTTGGTTATGGTTTTTTGTGGTGGTCTCCTCTGCCGTAAAGAGGAGTGTCCTTGACGGCACAGTAACCCTAAGGATGCAGTACTGGCATGCACACCTTGGAGGTAACCAACAGCTCTCTAATTGGCCTCAGGATCTGCTCAACAAGAGGGAAAACATTCATGGTAGTCAAAACCTAGCCAACTGCCCAGGGCTAGCGAAGTAGTGGATCTTGGAGGAGAATCTACAGCTGCCACTGCTAAGCTAGCATACTTTTAACTATGCTCAGTGTTTGTCTTTATACCAGCAGATAAGTGTAGTTCACATCCAGTTTTTTGCCTATGACCTAGTGGTCGGGCACACACACCAGCAGTTCTACTTATTCAACACCCTGATGCAGAAGGATTGCTCAATATAAGAGATTCTGTCTGGCATAAAAAACACAAGAAGACTCAATCCTAGAAACAGCCGAGCAAATTCCTAGGCTCAGAACACGTTCTTGCCATGGCTGCTTCTCTGGGTCCCAGAATTCACTGAAGCTTCCTACATTCCACAGTGACCTTGCAGGGCTTCAGATCCCTAGGTTCTCATTTCCATAGCTGTGACTTCTGTTGTCTGTTACTTCTCAGTGTCCCATAATCACAATCATCTATGACTAATCCAAGGCAAGGTCATGTGAACACTGGACCAGTCTGGGTATCTGTGTACAAAAATGAAGAAATGTGTGATATCTAGGAGTCCTCTTCTTGCTGCCTTGGGGGCCATCCTCCAGCAGCGCAGGGCTGGAAATGAATCTACTGAGTCGGTGTATACTAGACTGTTCTATCTGAGGGTGTTAGGGAAAAAGACATTCACATTCTCTTTTGATGGTTTCCTTCTTTATTCTCTATTCTCTATTCTTCTACCATATGCACTTTTCTACAGCTTACACATATCAACAAAATCTTTCAGGCAACATAGGAATTACATTGTGGTTACATTCTTTTTTCAATGAATGATTATCATGAATACAGGCAAACACGTTTTTCATCTTCCTTACATGATTAAAAACCAAGTCACCCCAATAACCCACATACATTTACATCCAAGCAACTTATTACAGATTAACAGAACATGAGCAAGCAGAAAGTAATTTTTCTCAACCAACTCTTTTGTTGGCAGGCTGCATATTTTGGTTACAAAGAAAGAATCAATCAATCACTTCATTATTAATCTTGAAAGGTAATCTTATAAGGAATCTTTTTTTCTGAGACAGGGTTCCTCTGTGTAGCTTTTGGAGCCTGTCCAGGAGCTCACTCTGTAGACCAGGCTGGCTTCAAACTCACAGAGACCCAACTGCCTCTGCCTCCCGAGTGCTGGGATTAAAGGTGTGTGCACCATCACTGACTGGCCCTTATAAGGACTCCTAAAGGAATCACAAACCTTAACTTTTATACGTTAAAAAAACCAGTCAGCTGTTCTTTAAATCTTTAGGGTGCATACCCACTCATCAATAGTTTTATATTAAGAGATTGAGGGCAGGAATTAAACATCACCTTTGATCATCAAACAATCCTAGCAGGGAAAATATGTCAGCTGGTAACATTCAGGCTGCTTTGTATTTTTTTTTAACCTCATCTATGTGTCCTTGTGAACTTCAGATTGTTTCTGGGGTTTTCATTACAAGCAGTGGGGATCTCCCCACACCCATTCACACCATGACAGATACCAGAGAACCATAGCCGCAGCGAACATGTAAAGGCACAGCAGAAGAAAAAGACATTCCAGGGTGTGTGGTCTCAGGGCTTTGCCTATCCAAGAGATTGGATCTTCTCAGCTCTAGAAATTTCAAATTCTAGGATCTGAGAATTATCTTCCTTAGGGCTGCTTTCATGTCACGATTCCTCAGACTGTAGAGGAAGGGGTTAGCCATGGGAGTGACCACTGTGAAGATGACAGAGGCCACTGCATCCTGTGGTGAGTAGGAGGAAGAAGGGTGCATATAAACTCCTAGGATTGCCCCGTAGAAGAGGCAGACCACAGTGAGGTGAGACCCGCATGTGGACAGGGCTTTCCTTATTCCATGGGCAGAGGGCTTCTTCAGGACATTGGAGAAAATATAAACATAGGAAATAACAACACAGACAAACGGCACCAGAAATACCACTGCACCCTCAGTGAAGGCTGTGATGTCATTGATAAAGGTGTCAGCACAAGAGAGCTTCAGGATAGGGTAGGGGTCACAGAAGAAGTGGTGCACTGCATTGTGGGAACAGAAGGTGAGCCGAACCATGAGCAGAGTGTGCAAGAGAGCATGCAGGTTTGTGATGACCCATGATATGGCCACCAGGAGGACACAGAGCCTGGGCCTCATCATCAGGGTGTAGTGGAGTGGGTGACAAATGGCCACATAGCGGTCATAGGCCATCACACTCAGCAGGAAGCTGTCCATGTTGCCGAATGCGAGCATAAAGTACATCTGGGCCATACACTCCATGTAAGAGATGGACTTGCTTCCCACCATGTGATTCACCAGCGCCTTGGGGATGGTGACTGAGGAAAAGCAGATGTCAACAGTGGAGAGGTTGGCCAGGAAGAAGTACATGGGTGTGTGGAGATGAGGATCACAGCTGATGGCCAGGATGATGAGAAGGTTCCCAGAGATGGTGACCATGTACATCCCCAAGAACAGCCCAAAGACAACCTCTTCTTGGTCTGACTCTTCAGAGAGTCCCAGGAGGAGGAATTCTGTAGTGATCGTCTGATTGTCACCGTCCATGTCTTTGGAAAGAGAGTGAGACCCATGTAGTGAAATCATTCACCAACACTTGAAGAAAACTTAATGAACTTTGGGAAATGTTGCTCATTACTTGAGAATTAACTGCTAATAAAATGCCTTACAATGTACTTTTATAGCAACGAGTGGTCCATTGTTAAAGGACTGAATTCTAATGACTATGATTTTATTGATTCTGCTCTTGTTTCCTAGTGACATATATATGTGCCTTTTATACAAGAATTAACGCAGTCTAGGAATTGATGTACTACATTTGACTGTATATATGAAGAAACTGAGCAGTGGGCAACTAGATGCTTTATCAAAAATTGCTGATCGATGTCAGTGAGAGTTCAAAATAAGCTAATGGTCTTGTTCTCTGTGTTTACATAGACACATATGGGCATGCACGCTCACACATACACGAACATAACCACACATGCGTGCATGAACACACACACACCATGCACAACACACATACATACACAAACACACACATAGATACTTTGTAACACAGACACACAAGTATACTTTTTCTTACATGTTCTTTTGTCTGACTGGAATTTCTGGGCATAAGTTGCCGGGAACCATTCCCCGGTGATGGATGGGTCCTGCAGAGGAGGTAAGGAGTCAGCGGGAGAAGAAAGTGAGCCAGGTCATGGTGGTCAGGGGAATCTTGCAGCCTGACTGACTAGCAGCCAGAGTGTTTCTTTATTTATACAGAATTTAGTTGGAAGGGATACATACATGATGTTCCAAAACATAGATCATATCATTTTTGGTTTTGGACATGTGTTTCACTTCCTTTTGTTCATCTTTTAGTCATCATTAATAAACTATGACAGAACAGAGTTATCATTTCCAATCACTTTCCCTCAAGTTTAGTTTTGACATCATTTATAAACAGAGTTATCATTCTTACTCATTAACCCAATAACCCAATTTTTGAGAATATAGAGGCATATGACAGCCTGTGCTCAAGCTCAAATTCAGACTGGCTGGGACTATAGACAGGTGCCATGTCTCCAGCAATTTTTATGTTATATTAGCTACCATTTTATTAAATTGTAATCAAATGAAAAGTCACAACTAAGTGTCATGTATTTCCCAGCACTCTGGAGGCAGAGGCAGGCGGATCTCTGTGAGTACGAGGTTAACCTGGTCTACAAAGCGAGTTCCAGGAAAGGCACAAAGCTACACAGAGAAACTCTTTCTTGAAAAACCAAAAAAAAAAAAAAAAGTGTCATATATTATAAACCCAGAGGTTGTGCTGTGGCTTTTCTATTTCCTCACACTTGGGGTGGCCAATAGGCTTAGACTGACTGTTGGGCCTTTGTATTTTATTGGCTACAGAGATGTTTTCACCACAGCTCACAGCTGTTTGTCTGCTCACCTGAGCTGTAGGCCGGACTCCTGTGTGCAGTGTACCCTCCTTTCTGCACACAGAAGAGGGGGGCGCATACAGAGTCTAAGTGCAATGGTTTCCTATTGGAGAAAAAAGGTTTCACAGGTGGATAAAATGCAGATTCATAGGCATCTCAAAAGACAACCCCAAGGCTAGGAAATCACCACGGCCAGCAGGTCACGATCACATCTGGACTGCAGTGCCCATGGAGGGATGCCAGGCAATTTAAGCTGAGAAAGGGAGGAGAGTCACCCTGGGG